ATATATTTATTTTGCGTAATTTCTCCTTTTCATTCACTGTAATGTTTTAACTTCATTTTGTACCATGGATAATTTGTTTCTATGTAAAAAAAAAACAACATCTTTTCAAACCAGATTAAAATACGTTTCTGCAAATTGGACAGGTAGATTTTTGACTTGTACTGAACCACTTGTACTGAAATAAAAAATATATATATATATAATATATAGAAAGATATTACGACATATTTGATATATATATAAGTTATAGTAATATATAATATTATATATAGATATATAGATATATAGATATATATAGATATATATAGATTATAGTAATATATAATATTAAAAATAATAAATGTTAATAAATAATATATGCTCACCAAGCAGCGAGTATGAAACTTCTTACGACAAGTATGACATGACAATTTTGGTACTTGATATGTACTGATATGGAAAATGCTAAAGCATATATAACACTCTTCGACACCGGCAAATTTCTTGTCCAAATTACGTTTCCACATTAAAAGACCGTCCCAAACAGAGCCATTCTATAAAAAATATATATATTTGGAACATATATTTCTTAATATATACATATAAACATATTGCGACTTACTTGATGTGTGAGAAGTTTAGACAGTTGCATATGACAATTTTTCCATTTTGCCATACCATCTATCTGTTGACCAGATTCTACTTTCACTCTACCTAAAGGATAGTTTGGTGGTAGCACTATGCTTAATTCTAATTTTGTATCTTCCATTTGATACACAGCTACTACTTCCCTTGCTGTTGAATGTACTTTTACCTATAACAACACAAAGCACACGATATTAAATTTGACAATAAACAGAAATTTTAAAATACAACTTATTGAAATAATGGCTTAAATAAATCTTTAATCTCAAAATTTGTATATGGACGAAGCAGAATTTGCGAGAGAAAAAAACGTACCTGCATATTTTCAACATTAGCCAATTGTAATCTGCTATAAAGAAGCTCATCTTCACATAACATAGGACTAACATAATGACTTGTAATCTTATCTACTGTTGCACTGACTCTGCTATCAACTGTACTTAGCCATTGTCTAACTAATACTGGTAGAAGCCGCAAACAATTTGTATATAACCAACATACAATATGGTCTAATCTCTCTTCCGTCCAACTTTCTATAATATACATATATTGCAATGTAATAAAACAATATATAATAAATCAAATTTTATGTAAATGTAATATTAATTTTAATAGTACCTTTGAAACAAAAAACTGGAGCAGTGGTAAATAGTTCTAACAGTTTTACAGTTTTATTTTTATTATCTTGTAGCGCTTCCATAGGTATTAACTTGAAGATATTATCCAACAGATAAGGGAAAAGTTTAATTCTAAAATTTATAGTAAATGATAATTAATAAAAAATATAATAAATAAATTTTAAATGTTATAAGTAATAGGACATATTACTTATAGGAGAAATGAAAAAAAATCACAGAAATGTTGCATTATAATACTTAAAATATTTACTTCAATATTTCAGCATATTGATATCGTAAATTACTATGAGACTTTTCGCAGATATCTAATACAATTGCCCATGTTAATAGATATCCTAACGTATATGTGTAAGAATCTGTAAACGGTTGGATTGTGCAGGTAACTGTATCACATAATCTAAAAAAAGACAATATTACAATAAATGATTAAAAAAATATGATTCAATTAAAATTTAATATAAAGCAGAGACTCACTTGAATTCCATAAGCATTGTATTTATAATAGTCTGTATATTTGATAGTACTTCTTCGAATTTTTTAATATTGAGATTGCTCGCCTCGAAGTTATCAGATTCAACAAGAATTTTATCATGTTGTACAAGTTCCGGTACCATATATTTCAATGCGTAATAGGCACCCAATTGAATGCTAGGAACAGGAGATTGTAGTAATTTCAGAGATAGCATTAACATCTTGTTGAAATCAATCGTTTCGGTTTGTTCATCATAATTTTTGAATAATATGCTACTGTCAAATGCACAAATTGCCTCTCCCAAATAATTCAATGGTATAATAGATTTTATAATATCCGTACTTTGATTGCATAAATCTGCATAAAATATCCAAGTTTGAATAATGCCATTATATATATTGCCAGCAATTACATTTTTCCATTCATCCAAGAGTGTTGAAGGTAATTCTGGTATTGGCTTCAATTTATGTTTGTTCATCAGAGTTTCAACTGCATAATACAATTGACTAAATGCTATTATCAACATTGTTATTTTAATGTCACTATAATTATGTTTGGCGTTGTTATATAACTGTTGCCACTTTGTGAGAAATATCAAGATAACATCCCAATATTCTTGTTTCAACTTCTGCGGAATATGTTGGACAACTGTCTCAAACAATCTTATAACTTCTAGCTGCAAAAACAATTTATCCCATGAAATAATAGAAATATCATGATCCAAAACTGCAGAAAGTTCATTAAAATGTAATGTAATTATATGATCTATAATAGGATCATATAGTGAAGGAGGTTGATCTTTGGGAATGTCAGATATCATAGTTCTTGTGGCAATTATTGAATATATTTCGCCGTGTGTTAATATTTGCGAAACATTTTGTGGCCAATTTAAGATTTGTAATATTTGAATATTTGTTTCATCATCATATTCTCCTACAATTTCATTACTGCTGTAATTTTCAAAATATTTCATGATATTCTCAAGTTGATCATTCGAGAAAAATTCATTGTAATGTGTGTAAATTATATATGGTAGCATACATCCATAACTTTTCTGATTTGTTTGTATACGTGATAATATATCATCATGGATATTCTTTGTAAAATATTTATGCAAATTAACAAAACTTTTTTTTAATAAATTACGAAGTTTTTTAACATCATTATAATATTTAGTGGATTTATAATGTTTACTGTATATGTTTACTATGCTAACTACGTATATAATATCTATTAATATTTCCGTGATTCCTGGTAAATTTAAATCGTTTAATTCAAAATTTTCTTCTTCTGAAACTATAGCATTTTCTGAATCAATGTCTTTTAGTCTCTCATACAGATTATTAAGCAAATCTGTGATAAATAAAGCCCATGATAAGCAACTTATTGTATTATCCGAAGAGATATCGTTTATTATATTGATAGATGTAGGTTGCTGTAAAATTTGTATTTTCTTCTCAACATTTGACATATATAAATAGCCTGTTAACATTTCACCATATATTGCAATAACGGTTATCTCTTCAATCCACAACTTTATGTCAGATGCCGTTAGGAATGACAGAATAGTTTCTTCAACGCAATCAAATTTTGTTATGTCAATATTATTAATTATAACTTCTAAAACATCCGTTGCCAAATTAACTAATGTACTCTTAGTAGGATTTGCATGTATATTATATATTTTACTCCAGATAATAATACCGTATCTTTTAATAAGATTATTAAATTCAAAAATAGACAATATTTGACTACTTTCTACGAATCCTTCTTTCCAACAATTACGTATAGTATCAGCAGTTAAAGCATCATGTTCTCGAGTGCATAATTCAAAAAGTGTTTCCAATATTTGTACAGCACTTAATATCGCTCGATTATGTTTCCACATTAAAGTCATCAATTTCGTAATAAATGCAACAAATTGCATGGAACAAGTATCATCTCTTCCATTTAATGAATCACATAGAATCGATACAATTTCACTTGTCCCTTCATTATTTATTAATAAATCTCTAATTTCCGGAATTTCAAAAGCTGATAAAATCAAATTTTGATTTTTTTCGAAATCATACTGTTCATCACTGCATGAAGCAATTTCTTTGGTCATATCAACTAATAGTTTAGGTATATTAGCTTGTGTATACCATTTTTTAATTACGCTATCATTTCTGTTATGTTCAGATAAACAGCAATATACGACATTTCTTATTATTGCAATATCATTTAATTCGATTAATGATTTTAGAACTGTATTCTTTTCTGCGTCATTTATATATGTAATAAAATAGAATAATAGTTCAAGAACTTGTTCAGCCATTTTTGATTTTTGCATCAATAAAGGTTTCAAGCTCTTATCGTAAAACTCAAAGAAGTTCTCATCAAATTTAAATGATTTTGAAAATGCAATGAATAATTCCTTACTTGCAAAATGTTTTATAAGTTTATTCAGCTGTTCGATATATTCTATGTTTTGATGATTATTTATTGATACGTTTATCGAATTAAAGTAAATTGTACAAAGTCCATTTACAAACTTGCAAAGTTCCGCATTAAAAACAGTATCCGCATAAACATCGACAACTTTTATCTTTGGTTCGCTCACAGTAACTGAATCACTTGGATCGGAAAATTTTACTTTTAACTTCTTACGAGTGCGATCTGGTACATCTTTCAAATTTAACAAGAATTCGATATGAAAATCTTTTCCATCTGTATATGCGATCCCCTTTGACATATTCATATATCTTTCGAACAATAATGGCAATTCAATCCAGAACTGTTTCATTAAAGAAATGTATGATTTATATTTCTCATTATTACGATTTTTACTCCAATATCTTATTAGATGCGTAATCTCGATAAAACAATATTGTTTCATAAAAATACTATCCGTCATGCAAGCTTCTATAACAGGCATAAGCTGTTCCTTAAGGAGCCGAACGCATAAATCTACATTTTCGGCGTTTATGAGGATCGAATAACGCAAACATTCAATGAAAGATGTTGTTACAGCAAGCGTTTCTGAACGGCTCATTTGCACACTTTTGACAGAAAATCCTTGACGCATATTGTTAAAGAAATTCGTATACAGATTAGTGAGATCAATATTAAACTTTGGAAATTGACTGACAAAGGGTAGCAGATTTGGGTAAACAGTGCTAGCACAACACTGGCCACCGGATCGTAAAGTGTGCCATAATTTTGGGAGTACGAGTTTATTAATATTTACTACAAGATGCCAATCATCAATTTTCGTTGTAGCTATGAGCATTGATTCCCATACAACTGATAAAATTACAGGTTCAGATTCATCAAGACTATTCATGATAGTGGTCACTGTCCTTTTCTTTTCATTTTCTAATAATTTTCCCACGTTTTCCATTATCGATGTCAATACATTGAAAAAAGCTGTTTTTATTGGCAAAGCATCGTGTTTAGCCAGTTTCCAAAATCTTGAACTACTTAAAATTTTATTGTGAATCTCCAAGGTTTTATCGATTTCATCAAGCGGTACTTTCTTGAAGTAACAATTATATCCTTGGAGATTTGCTACCAGTACTCTTTCATATTTAGCTTCCATTTCTTCATTAGTAAGAGACTTCTGCGTCGATAACGTTTGAGCCGTGTGCACAATTACATTGTTGCTAATGTATAATAAAATTTCGCACTGGCAATGAATAATCGCATTAACTATTTTCCAAGGTGGAAATGTGCTGTTAAAAGAGTTGGTAGCAGCTGATGCCGCCGGAGGATATGTGTCATATTGAGAGGTAAACCAAGCACCAGCCAATTGTTTCAAATACATTGCAATACCTTTGCCTACACGCTTGACAAGAGCTGCATGTGCCAACTGTGCAGCTTCTCTCACTCTGTGATCTATATCAATAGACAGAGCACAATAAAATCTTGGCCAAAACGGTAACGTACCTTCTACCGCTGAGAATTCTGCATCTTGACATAGAGTTGCAAATTCTTGTAATGCCTGCACATACATACATTAGTTTACAAAATCTGTAAATTGATCAATGACTAAACAAACTAATTACCTTAAATTTTGTCGTAGCATCTTTCTTGCTCATCTTTTTTAATATAACTTGAAAATTAGAATCTATATTGTTCATCTCAATCTCGTTTAGGGAACATAAGGATAATCCAGGCAGAACAGGAACATATCCTCCGTCCTTAACTGCCGAGAATCCAACAAAATTAGGCATTGCGGTTCCCAAAAGTTCTGCACTACGGCTACTATTTGATGGCTAAAAAAATGTTAAAAAATTGTACAATTAAATATTAAGAAAATATCATTAAGAGTACGAAATAATATGAATTATTATATTTACAAGGAGAGGACACAGTGCATTTATCATGGATTGTGATTTCTTTCAATATAGTGAATCTATATAAAAAAATAAATATAGTATCATGTGAGTTATATTTAAGCGTTTTGAATAAGCCTTGTAAATAATAGTTTTTAACGTATGAAAGGACTAGTTATATAGAAAATTTAATCCCGATGAAATGAATTAGTTTTTACTTATTTCACATATAATATGAACAAAAGATGTCACAAGATTTAATAATAATAATTTAATAATAATTTAATAAATAGTTTTTGAGCTATGGCATATCTGTGCTTGAGTTTTACACTTTTACAAGTTTTACATCTTTGATACACGATGGTTCAAAAACTATCCATTTGAACTATTATTGAGTCATTCAACAAAATCCTTGGACATCGCATAATTTATTTTTAATGTAGGTTCATCATGTTGAAGGAAATCAGAATTCGTGACGAATCCACTGTGTTCTCTCCTTGTTAATAAGCAAAATATTAGCAATTTATTAATAGATTCGAATATTGCAGAATATTGCAATCAGACTGATATTACCTAAGTTTGTATTAAGCTAATATTCTGCATAGTCAACATGATCTGAAATTCCAGCAAAAACCAAACAAATACCAAAGAGACTGTTATTTCATAACCATTTAAACAGAATATATCATTTAAATAGTTACGAAATAGCAAATTCTACTTTCAGTTTCTATACACAATTCAATCATCATTTCTGTTAACAGATTTTATTATTGAATTTCTGCTGGCACTTCGTAAAAATAAAATTTCTAACAGACACTTTGTAAAATCTGTTTTTGACTTATAACAAGCAAATTATCTGTTCGTAATGATAAGTATGGGTGATAAGCTGGGTGACGACATATATTATAGATTTGTTAGTAGATTTGTTCTTTGTAGCTGAATCTTTTATACATTTTATTTTCTCCTCTGTCTCTGCAACGTTGATATATCTATCATATCTATTTCATTTTGAGGCAAAATACAGAATGCAACTACAAGGAACAGATCCAATAAACGTGATAGGTTATATTATAAAATTATTATTGCACGCGTAATTTATAATCAAGTGATTACGTATAATTGATATTTACTCGGGCATTATTCTTGGTACGTTGTGCCTGCTTATTTTTACCCATGGTGACACTCTTAGGATGAGGTAAGAGCGTTTAACGATTAACGAAAATTTCGAGCCACCTCCGTGCTGGACGTGACGTTCATGTCAGCTGACAACATAACCTTAAATGAGTATCCATGATCCATCCCGGGTTCGATCCCAGGTACTCCACATATCGCGATTTTTCCGCGCTGTTTATTAACAAAATTTAATTGTGTCGTATTGTTGAAAGGCTCGAGACTGTTATGAAAAAGTTGAAAGGCCTAAGGCTATTGCGAATTGTACGAGAAGTTTAGAATTATTATATAATAAGAAAAAAGTGACTCTGTTTACAAGTTTGATTGACAGTATTATGAATTTGGTACAGTGTCTTTGCGTTATATTATACAAAGGATAAGGCAGAAGACGCCTAATTTCCCTCACCCGAGGAAAAATTTACAAAATAAATCTATAAGCGTGTGAGTTGACCGTACAGAACATTTATAAAGGTTTGCCGGTACAGAACGCTGAAAAAACAGACTATAATCCTTCGGTAGAAATCTATAATTACGGCCAAATGAGCGTCAGCACCAAAACTGAGCAGAGACTACTATTGTCTTATTGCTCCTTTACCTGCATCTACCTTTCTGGAATCCTGACGCTGGTGAATTTTAATGACAATTTGTACAATGTTGGCAAGTACAAATTCCTACCCGTGTTGATGATATTAACATTCGCCGAGGTGATAAAGCTGCTGTTTCCTATGCTGCAAGCGGAGGCACCTACTATAATCAAGATCGAACAACGAGCCTATCCGAAGGCCAAGACATTCTGGGCGAAGAATCTGAGAGATATCATCAAGTTCTTGTTCAATGCATTTTGTCTGTCGATATTTTATTACTTAACAATCGTGCTGTTTGGCGCACCTATTTTAACTGATCACGAGGAGACAACAATGCTAGTCATTACCCTGATCACATTGACTTACGTATCTACCAGTTTACACCTGGGACAGGATCATACGGTGGATATCTTGACAGGGGTTTATTCCTTGAAGAGCACTATCCTCTCGAACGCTTTAAAACTCAACATACAGATGACAATATTAGGCACTTGGCTAGGTGCTATTGTTATCCCTTTAGACTGGGATCGCCCTTGGCAAGCTTGGCCGATTCCTTGTGTTATAGGTGCATTACTTGGCTACTTGATCGGCCACTTCATCACTCTCGTCAAGATGCTTCCCTCATTGAAATTATATAGGAAAGTCCATCGATAATTGTGGATATTTGAGAAGACAGATATTCCAATTTCTCAAATAATATCATTTTATTAAATAAACGATATGCTGATTGTCATGTTGCATTTTGATGAATGTTGTATATACTAGGCCATATAAAAGTAGTTCAGCATATTAATATATAACTGTCCATCCTGATTCATATAAATTTATTATATTATCTGTGATGTAGATATATATGTATGAGTTGAGATAATAATCTAATAATCGTACGAGAGAATCATTTTTTATATAAATTATAATAATATTTATATAATAATATTTATAATTCTATAAATTCTACTTCGGGCGATTTATTTTACTACTCATTCATATTTTATTTGATATAGCAATTTCCTGACATCTCATCTTACACATCCTTTCCTCTTACGTTCTTTATAATTATCTAACTTGTCACAAGTTAATCTTATATATATGTAATGAAATTATCACTATTAAAAAAAAATTATTATAAATGTCAAAAGTTTGCAGCAAACAAAAAGTTGGGTGAATTATGCCCGCTTTCACTAATGATAGTTTAACTTTAATCTCAGTTTAACTTACTCTTCATTTTGTTCTAGTTCTAACAAAAGAATTAGAAAAAGATGAAAAGTAAATTAAACCGAAATTAAATTTAACATCAATATTAAATTTAATTACATTTAAGCATTATAATTATCAAAGTCATCCTTAATATTGGAATTTGAGTATATAAATTTTGCAAGTAATGGTAGTTTAAAAAAAGCAAATTGCATCAGTACACATTATCAAACATTGATAATTTACTTATGTAATAATATACTTTCTTACGTCAGGTTAGGCCTTTCACCCTTTATATCTGATCTGCAAAAACAAGAATAAAGTACAAATATAAATGCTATATTTTGTGCTTAAAAGCTAATTAAATGATCTATAATTCGTTAGATTCAGAACAGTATTCTACTCATAATAATTTGATATGCATGTTATACAAAAAAATGACTGAAGAATTAAAATATATAAAACGTGTATAAAATGTATATTAAAAATATATGTAGATCTATCAAAATACATTGCATCATAGATAGATAAGAAAAACACGTCAAATTTCTATAATTCGTTTATCTCGATCGTTACATCTAATGATTTATTTTCAATATTTAATAATCAACTTTGTATGCTATTAAAAGAAAAATTAACAAATCTGAAGTGAATATGATAGTAGAAATTCAAGTGAAATTCCAATGGGGAGGGGGATACTTTCATTCTAATTAATCGCTTAAAATTTGACATAACAGAGATTTAGTATTGTTCGTGAGTGTCATGAGAAGTAACTTAATCGAAAAAGTGCTTAAATTAGATTTAAGCACTAACAATCAGAGAAAAAAAACTCATAAATGACTTCGTATTTTCTTGTCATCTGCTGGGATCTGAATAACCAATGAATGGGATTTTCCATACTCGCGCAGTCGCAACTGTCTCCACCAGAACGAATTGAAGCATAGCTGCTGACATTGAGGTTTCTCGTTACGATCAGTTAAGATTCGTTTCCTCATTTGTCGGATCGACTCCGAATTAATTCCAACAAGACAGTGCCTAACTACTTCAGAAGGAATGTCGGACACAGCTGGAAAGGTATACCGATTACCATTTGTTTCTGCGAATTTGCACATTCTAAACTTATTCATTTTTCTTCTTTTTCTACGTCGTTAATTACTATTGGCCGACTCTCACTGATCGTCATTTAATATGTTATCTGTTTCCTTTTATTGAAATATTTTGTTACATTAAAATAATATTCCTGTTAGAAATATATTGTATAAATGAGAATAATCTTCTGCCGAAAAGAGGCGTTACATAAGTATAAATTATCTTCTTGACTTGTTATCTTTGAAAATGGATTTGATTCTAATAATACAAGTACAAAAAGATGAGATAGGACAGTACAGATTTGATAATATGAAATAATTTAATTTACATCATCTGTGACATAACTACTTGTTTACTTGATGTGTCAGTAAATTTGAAAAAAAGATAATAAAATAAATATATAAGATAATTTCTGTAAAATTAATAAAACTATCATTATTAGTTAATATATGTATATTAGATAATTTCTTAATTAAACTCTATCGAATAACTATGTATTTTTTTATATTTACTGTAACTAACAATATCTACCGATTTAATTTGTTTAAAAAACATTAAGAGAAGAATTGATAATGAATTGAAAGATTTAAAATAATCATGAAGGAAATTTGGACAGCAAATAATATTTAGTAGGTCTAATTCATTTAGTTGATGACTGAACAGTTATAATTTATATATTACATTTGTATATATTTATTAAATTTATTATTGCTATTTTTAGGTTATCAAATGCAAGGCTGCGGTAGCATGGAAGCAAAAGGAGCCTTTATCTTTAGAAGAAATCGAGGTAGCACCACCTAAAGCACATGAAGTCCGAATCAAAGTAGTAGCTGTGGCACTTTGTCATACAGATGCTTATACTCTAGATGGATTGGATCCAGAAGGAGCATTTCCTTGTATACTTGGTCATGAAGGCAGTGGTATCGTAGAAAGTGTCGGAGAGGGTGTCACCGAGTTTCAGCCTGGTAGGCTGATCAGATTATATTTATAAAAATTCTTTTGAATTATATCAGTTAAATTTCAATAATGTTTTTTAGCTGATTTACATCATATTTTGTTAACCTATTATTGTTTACATAAATAATTGTAGGTGATCATGTTGTACCACTTTACATTCCTCAATGTGGAGATTGTAAATTCTGTAAATCACCGAAAACAAATTTATGCAGCAAAATCCGTGAAACTCAGGGTAAGGGTTTAATGCCCGATGGTACGTCTCGTTTTACGTGTAAGGGACAAACACTCGCACACTTTATGGGTTGCTCCACCTTCTCTGAATATACAGTTGTAGCTGATATTTCTCTCGCAAAGGTATTTCTATATTTTTATAATCACTAGAGTTTTTATAACTTTTATATAATTATTATAAATTATTGTTACAGATTAATCCTAAAGCACCATTGGACAAGGTATGCTTGTTAGGTTGTGGAATATCTACAGGTTATGGCGCAGCTTTAAATACTGCCAAAGTAGAATCAGGAAGCACTTGTGCTGTATGGGGTTTAGGAGCTGTTGGTCTTGCAGCAATCTTCGGTTGCAAGAAATCTGGTGCATCTCGTATTATTGGGATAGATGTCAATCCGGCCAAATTTGAGCAAGGTAAATTATGTAATTAGATTGTGTGCGACACAAAATTAATTTTTTATAGAAATAAATAATGAAAAGAACCTTTTTTTCTTCGTAGATTTTCTTATTGTGATAAAATTTTATAAATATTTTTATACTTATTTACAGCTAAAACTTTTGGCTGCACAGAATTTGTTAATCCCAAGGATTATGATAAACCCATTCAGCAGGTATTAATTGAAATGACTGATGGTGGATTAGATTATACTTTCGAATGCGTTGGTAATGTAAATACTATGGTACGTGTTTTATTTTCTTATTTTGTTTGCGGAAAAAGAATTTTGTCTTATAAAGATTATTTTTCAGAGAGCTGCATTAGAATCCTGTCACAAAGGATGGGGTACATCAGTAATAATAGGAGTAGCCGCAGCTGGCCAAGAAATCAATACTAGACCATTCCAGTTGGTCACAGGACGAGTATGGAAAGGGACAGCGTTTGGTGGATGGAAATCAAAGCAAAGCGTGCCGAAATTGGTGGAGCAGTATCTGTCAAAAGAATTGATTCTCGATGAATTTATTACACATAATCTTCCATTTGA